CCCCGGCCGCCCCTCCCCCGGCCGCCCCTCCCCCGGCCGCCCCTCCCGGAGGCCTCCGTCCATATAAATCTAAATCCCCACCCAAGACCCTTCCAACCTTGCTCCCAGCCCAGCTGGGACCTCGGAGCTGCCGTATTGAATGGACTGATGGAATCTGGGAGAGTGAGACCCGCCGGCCCGTGGTAGGAGTGCCACCAATGACCACGGAGGGCTCCCCGTGCGCCAGGCAGGCGGTTACCCCTGAGCTGCTTCACTCCGTCGGAGCCTGTCGCAGCCCCTGCGCCCGTTCTGGACAGGAGCAGGTGCCACGCGGGGAGAGGGGCCAGCAGCCCCTGGCACCGTGCACCGGCACGCCCCACACCTGCCTCCGCTCCCACTGCACCTGCCTGTGCCGTGGCCAGGAACGGCCACGCTGTGCTCAGGGCAGCCCAGTGAGATGGGCCGGGCCTGGGAGCCACAGTCTAGGTGGCGGAGAGGCCCGGGCTCAGCCTCACATCCGACTGAGCACCTACCAAGTACTGCGCATCGATGTGGCTACGGTTTTTTCTTTCCTAATTTTTTTTATTTTTCTGAGATGGAGTTTCACTCTTGTCGCTCAGGCTGGAGTGCGGCGGCGCGATCTCAACTCACCACAACCTCTGCTTCCCGGTTCAAGCGATTCTCCTGCCTCAGCCTCCCTAGTAGCCGGGACTGCAGGGGCGCACCACCACGCCGGCTAATTTTGTGCTTTTGGTAGAGACAGGGTTTCTCCATGTTGGCCAGGCTGGTCTCAAACTCCCGACCTCAAGGGATCCGCTTGCCTCAGCCTCCCAAAGAGCTGGGATCACAGGAGTGAGCCACCGCCCCCGGCCTTTTAACTTTTTTTTTTTTTTTGAGACATTGTCTCAGTCTGTCACCCAGGCTGGAGTGCAATGGCGCAACCTCAGCTCACCGCAACCTCCGCCTCCCAGGTTCAAGCGATTCTCCGGCCTCAGCCTCCCGAGTTCTTAACCCAGTTCCCCCAGACATACATGGTCCGGCTGGGGTCACAGGCACGCACCACCACGCCTGGCTCGTTTTTGTATTTTTAGTAGAGACGGGATTTCGCCATGTTGGCCAGGCTGGTCTCATCTCTGGGGCCTCAAGTGATCCGCCCGCCTCGTCCTCCCAAGTGCTGGGATCAGCAGCCTGAATCACCGCACCGGCCGATTGTTTTTAATATTATGAATGTTAACGTTTTTGTTACTGTCGTTAACGTTGACGGAAACTGAGTTGCGGAGCCCTTAAGCAATCTGCCTGAGTCCAAGCAGCAAGGAAGTGCAAACACAGGAAGGAAATACAGGTCTTCACCTCCCTGCAGCTCTTTCTCCTTCCATTCTCCTTATCAGTGAAAAAACAGAGAGGGACAGCAGCTTGCCTGAGGTGTCACAGCAACTAGGAGGTGGAGTGGGCTGGAGAGCCTGGCCCTGCCTGCTTCCTGCCCCACTAATTGGGGGCCTGGGTCTAAGGGGGAAGGAGACCCCTCGGTGCTTCTAGGGGGAGACCGGAGGAGCAGGGAAGCCCCCCGCCACCCGCCACCTGCCCGCCTGCCTTACCCTCACTGGGCCTCCGGACGAGCGAGTAGGCGGGGCCGGCCACCCTGGTGCAGTCGTGCTTGATGAAGCCCACCGTGGGCGGCAGGACGTACAAGCCTGGCCCCGAGCCTGCAGCCCAAAGCCCTCAGGTCACTGCCTGGGCCCAGATTCCCCGAGGAAGGAGCCCTAGACCCAGCTCCTGAGCCTCAGCCTGGGCTCCCCTCTCCCTCCATGGTGACGGCTGGGGTCTGGGGAGCCAGAGGCTGCCGCCCTCCGTGGACAAAGTGTGAGGCCGGCATTGTGAGTCAGACACGGATCACAGAGGGAAGGCTGGGGTAGCAGGCCTCACCTGGGGCACAGGCGGGGAGACCGGGACCTCCCAGACATACACAGTGAAAGGCAGCGACACTGAGCCTCCCAGAGATACAGGGTCACAGGTGGGGAGACTGAGGCCTGGGCCTCCCAGAGATACAGGGTCACAGGTGGGGAGACTGAGGCCTGGGCCTCCCAGAGATGCAGGGTCACAGGTGGGGAGACTGAGGCCTGGGCCTCCCAGAGATACAGGGTCACAGGTGGGGAAACTGAGGCCTGGGCCTCCCAGAGATACAGGGTCACAGGTGGGGAGACTGAGGCCTGCGCCTCCCAGAGATACAGGGTCACACGTGGGGAAACTGAGGCCTGGGCCTCCCAGAGATATAGGGTCACAGGTGGGGACACTGAGGCCTGGGCCTCCCAGAGATACAGGGTCACAGGTGGGGAAACTGAGGCCCAGGCAGAGATACACTGTCACCGGTGGGGAGACTGAGGCCTGGGCCTCCCAGAGATACAGGGTCACGACGCCATGTGTTGTGGCTTCTGCAGAATCTCATTGCCACAGGGGTCAGGAGAGACCACAGAACCAGCCTCAGGCCCCGGCTTGGAGCCTGACTCCGCTGCTCATGGTGGGTGAGGAAACTGAGGCCCGGCCCGTGCCCTCACCGAGGCCAGCAGCTGACACGGCTGGCAGAGCAGCCTCCGCACCCGCGCCCCCCGCCCCACCCGTGTCGTCTAGGTGCCCGTCCCAGAGGGCCAGGCTGGGAACACGGCTGCCTCCCGCACGATCTCTGCGGCTCTGCCCACTGCTGCCCCCACAGCCCCTGGCAACGGCTGGGCCCGCAGAGCACTCAGCATCGGCTGACAGACACACTCGGGGCACGGAAACCCTGCGTCCACACCCATCCTGCCGGAAGGAACACTGAGGTTTGGGGAAGGGCAAGGACTTGTCAGAAACTCCTGCCTCCTGCTGGACTCCCAGAACATTCCAGAAGCCCCAGAAGTGAGGAAGTGGAGCAGGAAAGGGTCCCACCCGTCCCCCGCGGCTGGCACGCACCGTTCTCCAGGGTGGCCGTCCCACAGGACTTCCTCAGGCCGGTCTTCGGAATCTGGCTCTCCGTCACGCACCGGCCCAGCCGTGGGGCGTGGTCGCAGCTGAGGGTCCCCATGGTGGGCAGGCGACGTCCCCGCAGCACCCACGGGGCCCGGTGCCACCTCCTGATCCCTCAAAGCTCTGGCAGCCACAGGCCCAGGCACCGTCCCCACCTTCACGGCCTCCCACACCCTGCCACCACCACGGCCACACAGATGGCCCCTTGTCCCGCCCCAGGGAGTCGCAGGGCCCTGGCCCGAGGCGGGCTGGTCGGACGGACACCGGCCTGGAAGTGGGGCCAGGATCAAGTGTCGGCCAGGAGAGAGTCCGGTGTCAGCAGTGAGTCTCCCGGGAGCAGGTGGAGCTGGGCCGCGAGGGCCAGGGCCGGCCCCAGGGAACTAAACCCACAAACATGACACCCACAGCCTCACCGCAGGAGGGCCTGGTGGGGTCAGGGCGGCGTGGCCCCGTTTCTGCACCGGGGTGCAGCCCACAGTCAGACAGCAAGCTCACCACTCTGGGAGCTGCAGCTCCGAGCCACGAGGCATTCACTCCCTCATCCTGTCACTCATCCATCCCACGCGCACTTACTGGGCACCTACTGTGTACCTGTCTCTGTTTGGGGTGGTGAGAATGGGACAGGAACAGACAGAAAAGCAGCAGCTGGGGCCGGGCGCAGTGGCTCACGCCTATAATCCCAGCACTTTGGGAGGCCGAGGCGGGTGGATCAGGAGGTCAGGAGATCGAGACCATCCTGGCCAACACAGTGAAACCCTGTCTCTACTAAAATGCAAAAATGCAGCCCCGGGGTGGCGGCGCCTGTAGTCCCAGCTACTCGAGAGGCTGAGGCAGGAGAATCGCTCGAACCCGCGCAGCGGAGGTTGCAGTGAGCTGAGATCACGCCACTGCCCTCCAGCCTGGGGACAGCGAGACCCCGCCCCTCCACCCCCCACAAAAAGGAAAAGAAGCGATGTTCTCAGGGTGAGAGGGAAAATCACCAGCAGGTGTGGTCCGCGGACGCAGTCTGGGGTGTATGAGGAGGAGCTGAGTGTGACGGAAGGCGGGGCTGGGGCCCAGGGTGCTGGTGTGGGTGCAGCCTGAGTATCAGCGCCGGCCCCGCGGAGACCGTAACGCTGAACGCGTCCCACAGCAGGCGACGGGGGCAGGTGCGGAGCCTGTGAGCAGCGCCTTCAGCGTGAGGGGACGCCTGGACACGGGCCCCGGGCGAGGGGAGAGCCGTCCCCACGGCCTCCCAGAAGCCTGCGGCATTTAAACCACAAATGGATTTCAATTCACTGTGTGCCACAAAGAGGCTCGGGAAAAAAACTGCTGAATGGGATTCACGTTCCCGTGCCTCTTCCTTGTTCATTCCTGTAGCTTTGGGACCCTTTCCTTTTGCGGGGTCATTTTTTTTTTTTTTTTGATGGCGTCTCGCTCTGGGAGACAGAGACTGGTTTTGACCACGTTGGCCAGGCTGGTCTCAAACTCCTGACCTCAGATAATCCGCCCGCCTCGGCCTCCCAGAGAGCTGGGATTACGGGCGTGAGCCACCGCGCCCGGCCCCGCCGGGATCTTGTCTGGTCATCTCAGCGTCTTGGTGAGAGAGGTGCTGGGAACCCTCATCTGTTGTTACAGGGGGGGAAACTGAGGCTCGGGGGGCAGTCACATCCATCGAGTCCCTCAGTAACTCATCAGGGGATCCGGGACTTGAACCCGGGGCTCTCCGACTCAGACTGAATATCAAAGCTTCGGGCTAAGTTCTCATCCCAGCGCAGCCTTTCAAAACACTCACTGTCACCGTGTGGATGCCGGCAGCGGTCAGTTCAAAACGCCGCAGCACACAGGCCCCGCACGGCCTCGTCCCCACCTCCCCCGCCCTCTCGTCCTGTTCCCGGGCCCTCTACTGCTCTGGTCTGGCCATCGGGGCCTGCCGGCTCTTCCTCCAGCCCCTAAGACGGTCTCCACCTCTGCCTCTGCCCGAGCTCTCTACCTGAGACGCTTCTGCAAGCAAACCAACCTCGCCGGCTCCTTCCTGGGTCTCAAGGGCCCCCAGCCACAGGCCCTGTCACCGCCGACCCTGGACACGCCGTTTGCTGGTTTCCGGAGGCAGCACAGCCTCCAGAGCCACAGCGGGGATGGGGGCTGAGGAGACAGAGAGGGAAAGACCCCGACCCCCTCCTCCTGCCAGTCAGCGCTGCTCATTCACCAAAACCAGCCAGAAGTGCAGGAGCCCCGGGGCTCCCAGGGCAAGGGCCTAGGAGTTCTTCCCCCTCCGGACGTGGTGGCTCACGCCTGTAATCCCAGCACTCTGGGAGGCGGAGGAGGGTAGATCCCCTGAGGTCAGGAGTTCGAGACCAGCCTGGTCAACATGGTGAAAACCCGTCTCTACAAAAATACAAAAATTAGCCGGGCATGATGGTGGGCGCCTGTAATCCCAGCTACTTGGGAGGCTGAGACAGGAGAATCTCTTGAACCCGGGAGGCGGAGGTTGCCGTGAGCCGAGATCACACTATTGAGTTCCAGCCTGGGCAACAAGAGTGAAACTCTGTCTCAAAAAAAAAAAAATTTTCCCTCAACCCCATCCCATCTCACATCCAGGTCACCAGGCCCAGGCCACATCAGCCACTAAGGGCCAACAGCCAGAGACCTTGGTTCCAGCAGGCACTCGGCCCCGACTGACTCAGTTTCCCCTCTGTGCTATCAGCTGTGACACCTGCCTCCCCTGCAGGAACAGAACCCTCCAACCAGGTTACAGCCAGAACCCGGCCGCACCTGCCTCATTTCCCCATTTTACCGGGGTGGAGCCGAAGGCTAACACGGGGGAAGACAGGATGGCAGGCCCGCCACGCCGACAGGCTCACCCGACCGAGCTGGGGCCCCTCCAGCCACAGTCCCCCCTCATCTGACCCCCTCTAGATTCTATCAACACTGTCCTCGGCTCAGAGCCTGTCCCAGCGGCCAAGCACAGGGCTTGCAAATGAGATGCAAATGAATTCAACGCACATGCAGATGAGCCCTGATTTTAATCCTGTCTGAGCCACGAGAGAGACTAAATACCGACAGTGGAAAAGGGGCGGCTGGAGTGGGTGAGAGGCGGGGTGCCTGCCCCGCGCCCCCCTGCCCGGCTGCCGGCCACCACTGCCAGGCCTCGGTGTCCGGGAGGTGACGCCGTCGGCATTCCCGGGAGTCTTGTTCTCGCCGAGAGTCTTGTTCTCGCCGTCATTGGGAATTCAGCAGGCGTTTGGGGCCGGGCCCCGCTCAGGAAAACGGGAGGAGAAAAAACACAAAAGTTCCGGCCGGGCGCGGTGGCTCACGCCTGTCATCCCAGCACTTCGGGAAGCCCAGATGGGTGGAGCACAAGGTCAGGGGTTCGAGACCAGCCTGGCCAAGGTGGTGAAACCCCGTCTGTACTAAAAATACAAAATTAGCCGGGCGCAGTGGTGGGTGCCTGTCATCCCAGCTACTCGGGAGGCTGAGGCAGGAGAATCGCTTGAACCCGGGAGGCGGAGGTTGCGGTGAGCCGAGATCGCGCCATTGCACTCCAGCCTGGGCGACAGAGGGAGACTCAGTCTCAAAAAAAAAAAAAAAAAAAAAAACCACCAAATTTCCTTCCCATCAAGACAGGCAGGCAGACAGTGGATTTTACATGCAGGGAGAGGGCTGGCGGTGTGGGCGTCTGCCGTGTGAACCGGGAGGTCGGGACCCTCGCTGAGAAGGTCACGCTCCTGCAGAGACCGGAGGAGGTGGGGGAGGGCATTCCAGGCCTCCAGACCAGGCTGCACGCCCAGAGGCCCTGGGCAGGACCGTGCCTGGAGTGTCTGAGACGCGGGGAGGAGGCCCATGTGCTGGGGCGGGAGAGCGAGGAGATGGCAGTGGGGAGGGAGGCGACGCGGAGGGGCCTGCAGGGCCTGGGGGCTGTGGGGAGCGTCTGGGCTTCTACCCGGAGGGACGTGGGCGACGTGACAGCTGTGGGCAGGGACGTGGCCCAGTCGGAGCTTACAGGCGCCCTCTGGTGACAGCTGGGAGAGCAGACTGTGGGCGGTGCCGGGAAAGGGCGTCACAGGCTGGGAAGGGTGATGGGGATGGATGATGGAGAAGGATGGTGGGGGGATCATGGGAGGATGATGGAGGAGGAGGAGGGGGAGGAGGATGGGAGGATGATGGAGGAGGATGGTGGGGGGATCATGGGAGGATGATGGAGGAGGAGGAGGAGGATGATAGAGGATGATGGGGAGGATGATGGAGAAGGATGGAGGATGATAGAGGATGATGGGAGGATGATGGAGAAGGATGGTGGGGGGATCATGGGAGGATGATGGAGGAGGAGGGGGAGGAGGATGGAGGATGATGGAGAAGGATGGTGGGGGGATCATGGGAGGATGATGGAGGAGGAGGAGGAGGAGGAGGAGGGTGATGGGAGGATGATGGAGGATGACAGGAGGGTTGATGGAGAAGGCTGGTGGGAAGGATGATGGAGGAGGAGGAGGGTGAGAAGGATGATGGGCAGGTTGATGGGGACGGACAATGGGAAGGATGATGGCAACCAGACCAGCTCACCTTCACCCAGCTCGTGGTCTACCCAGAAAGTTGACCATCCACAGCAGCACTGCCACCAGGAACAGAATGAGGACTCTTTTTTTTTAGTTAGTCTGTTGCCCTGCCACCCAGGCTGGAGAGCAGCGGCACAATCACAGTTCACTGCAGGCTCCAGCTTCCGGGCTGACGTGGTCCTCCCACCTCAGCCTCGGCAGTAGCTAGGCCTCTAGGCATGTGCCACCATGCCTGGCGAATTTTTTCCTTTTTTTGTGTGGAGATGGGGGTCTTGCTGTCTTGCCCAGGCTGGTCTTTAGCTCCTGGCGTCAAGCAATCCTCCTGCCTTAGCCACCCGAAGCACTGGGTTTACAGGCACTGAGCCACCGTGCTTGGCCATGTTCAGATTTTCTAGCAGTTGTATCAAAAAAAGAGAAATGAGTAAAATTAATTCTTTTTTTTTTTTAAGACGGGGTTTCACCATGTTGGTCAGGCTGGTCTTGAACTCGCGACCTCAGGTGATCCGCCCGCCTTGGCCTCCAAAGTGCTTGGATTACAGGCGTGAGCCACCGCGCCTGGCAATTAATTCTAATAATAGATCTTATTAACCCCTACGTCCAAAATCGTATCATTTCTGCATATGAAAATGGTAGGTGAGATATTTCACATTCTTTCCTCACGCTGTCCGCCCCATCTGGAGTGTTTTGAATTCGCCGTGCTCAGTGTGTCGTGCCCATGGTTCAAATGCCCCAGCGTTCACCTGGGGCCTGAGGACGCCGTGGCGGCAGCTCCAGCCTCGAGCAGTGGAGTCTAGAGGGGACCCCTTGCTCCAGTGGTGCTCCAGCACGGGCGTTGCTGCCCCCAGGGGTGCTCGGCTGTGTCTGGGGACATTTCTGGCTGCCAGGACCAGGGGTGCTGAGGGCGGCTGGAGACCCACGATGCTGTTCCCCCTGAGAGAAGACCCCCAAATGTCAATGGTTTCAGGATGGCAATCGATGCTGCCTGTGGGGAGTAGAAAGTTCCTTTTTTTTTTTTTTTTGAGACGGAGTTTCACTCTTGTTACCCAGGCTGGAGTGCAATGGCGCGATCTCGGCTCACCGCAACCTCCGCCTCCTGGGTTCAGGCAATTCTCCTGCCTCAGCCTCCTGAGTCGCTGGGATTACAGGCACGCACCACCATGCCCAGCTAATTTTTTGTATTTTTAGTAGA